AAAATAAAGAGAACAACAGAATGCGCTGCTTTAGCGCATCTCTGTGTCCTTGAGAATCTTTCTGGCGCATGCCACAAACATCAACCACAGCGAATACTCGTCTTTTAAAAGGCTTCATTTAGATTACTTGACGTTAAATGCATCATATAAGTCACTTTGGAATAAATCACAGTAGGCCTATGTATCATGATAAAAAAAGCGACTTTACAGTCTGGAAATACTTTAGGCTATAGCAAATTATTTCTCGGACCCCCTATCACTTGAAGAACCGCTGGCCTACACAGAAGAAAGACCTGTCTAGACTCTGCCTCACGAGTTGTGTCGAGCTATTCATTAGTCTGTTTGATGAGAAAAATATGAAATGTAGTTGCAATAAAATGGGTTATTAATCCATACAACTGCAGCAGTGGAGGACTATTATTCTGCTGCGTGATACTGCAGAAGAACTGATGACGGCACGGTTTGATCTTCGGCTGACCAATCAGCAGAAAGGGACGTTTAATCCCGCCCACTTGTAGAAATCTAATATTCAAGCTGTTTATTAATTTTTCCACCCAAGAACGAAAAACGAAAATTTAAGCGGAATTCTCGTTTTTCGTTTTTTGGGAAAAAAACAAAAACACGAAAAAGGAGCCATTTTCAAATTTTTCTACTTTCAATATTAAATAAAAAAATGAATGATCGAATGATACACGGATTCTTAATGTCCCTGAACAGTTACATTTGTTTTTAAAACGCAATGCTTAAAATGTGTTTAAATGAAAAGCTTAACCTACATCATGCTGCGAAAAACGATTGATAGGCTATATTTCTACCGGTTTATCTCTCAACCCAAAAGCGAATATACTTTGTTCAAACACAAAAAGCAATATACTGTACATCCATCAAGTTGTTAACTTGTTAATCAAACTAACCTAAAATCTGTGGGGACGATGACGCTGTGATTTTATCTGCTCCATGTGCCCGGTCCACTTGCTGTTTCACAACTCCATCATCAGCTTTAGTAAAATAACCTGATAGCTAGGAATTTTACTGACTCTCTAACTCATGTTTTCCCCTCTCCTCAAAATGAAAAGCTTAACCTACATCATGCCACGCAAAACAAATGATATATTTCTACGGGTTTATCTCTCAACCCATAAGCGAATATACTTTGTTCAAACACAAAAAGCAATATACATCCATCAAGTTGTTAACTTATTAATCAAACCAACTTAAAATCTGTGCGGACGATGCCGCTGTGATTGTATCTGCTCCTATGTGCCCGTTCCACTTGCTGTTTCGCAACTTCCACTCCATCATCAGCCTTAGTGGGGATTTTACTGACTAATTCATGTTTTCCCCTCTCTCCTCTTTTTTTTTGAATAGTCCCTTCCCTCTCTCATTTTCTTTTTAGTTTACATTTTTACTTATCGAAGATTGTTCTTTGCATGACCATTTTTCAGATTATGCCAGAACGAAGTAAAGAGAGGTGAATGCGATCACCTGATTGATATGTGGTGCACAGGTCATTCAAAAGTAAAAATATAGAATAAATGCATTTGATTGGTAAACCAAATTCAGACGTGACATTTTAATCTCTAAAGGTAATGCATGGAATATATGGAAAAGCTCTACTAAATAATAGTGCTAATAAGTGAGGGGCGGGGCTTTGGCAATCGGCGCTACCAATGACCAATCTACTCCACAGCCAATCACGGGCCCCCTCCTTGTCCGGGCCCCAGGGCTTCAGCCCCACCTAGCCCAATGGTTAATGTGGCCCTGATAATTTGTAATGAAATTATATTAATGTAGAAACAAGCAAAATAGAAGCATTTTCAATGGTTGTCTTGGACTTTTTGACCCCTGCATCTCTCTCTCTCTCTCTAAATTTTGACACTTTATTGATTTGTATTGAGTTGTAACTTGATACTTATTACTTGAGTTTATGTAATTGTAAGTAGGAGATTTGTTGTAAATAAAAGCCTTTGTAAATTCTCTCTCTCTCTCTCTCTCTCTCTCTCTCTCTCTCTCTCCACAAAATAGCTGAAGTTGTTAAGTTAAAGAATTGAAGCTTTATTTTTTTACAGCAGACGGACAGCAGCACTGATGGTAGAAAAAGACACTTTCTCAACAGCATAATTCTCACTAAATAAAGAACAGATGGTGCTTTCGCCACACATCAGACAGATGAGTTTATGTAATTGTAAGTAGGAGATTTGTTGTAAATAAAAGCCTTTGTAAATTCTCTCTCTCTCTCTCTCTCTCTCTCTCTCTCTCTCTCTCCACAAAATAGCTGAAGTTGTTAAGTTAAAGAATTGAAGCTTTATTTTTTTACAGCAGACGGACAGCAGCACTGATGGTAGAAAAAGACACTTTCTCAACAGCATAATTCTCACTAAATAAAGAACAGATGGCGCTTTCGCCACACATCAGACAGACTCCCTGATAATTACACATGCTCATTTTACTCACTGTGCTTCTGCATTTCATGCAATAGGTGTGCTGGAGCACTATATTCTGTTGCTCCACTTAACTGACACTTATATCTTCATAAAACCAATAATTTTTGTTTGCATTAGTTTTAATTCAGGGAAAGTACAGTGCATAACTCTTATACTTTCACAGTTACATTTTAGATGCTGATTAGAAAATGATGGAGACAAATTGTGGACAAATCTGACTAGAAATATCATCTCTGTGGAAGCTTTTTTCCACCACAGGATAAAAAAAAATAAAGATAACTTTTTTCAGAATTGCGAGATATAAAGTAATAATTGCAAAATTTAAACTCGCAATTGAGAGATATAAACTGATAATTGTGAGAAAAAAAAGTCAGAATTGTGAGATAAAAAGTCGCAGTTGCCTTTCCATAGTCATGATAGAC